CATTTCTTGATAACCACGACGCGTTATGTCTGTTGATACCTTGGGCGACTTGAAGGTTTGGGCGAGAATAGAATAACAGCTCTAGGCGACCGTATGACATTCTATTCGTTCAGATTCTGGGCGACTTGCAAACTTGGGCGATGGCGTTACCGCATTTTTGGGCCCTCTTATTTGGGCCTTCACCTTGATTCGTTCGATTGGACTTCGTTCTTTGGGCTCTCTGATTTGGGGATCCTCCAATTGGGCTTTACTCCTTGGACTGTTCGATTTGGACTGAATTTTTATGTGTCAACACTGTATATGAAAATTTAGCTTTAGATTAATGATTTTGAGTTAGTATAAAACATTATGTTATCTTCAAGTATTTATACATTTCATACAACTAATGTATTCTTTTACTAAAAAATGTTCCATATACATATACAAAGAGAACGATTTTGCTAGATTAAGCGCTTGTTTGGTAGATATTTTGATAATTGATTTTTTGATCGTTAGAGATAAAGTAAGTCCTATCTGTGAGAGGAGAATTCAAAAATGACGTTTGGAACTTGGAATAGTAAAATAACGATAACAAAAATTGATTTTAATTGACTTAAAATTTATATCAAACAAGCGCTAAATATAACATATTGAATTATACAACATATGACAGTAAACTACAAAAGAAGTAATTTATTATCTTGTTTTTTTTTCAAACTACTAAAAACCGACCGTATTTGTTCAATTACATAAATATATGTCTTAGTACATAGATTGAATGTAGAATTTAGCCATTAATGAAAGAAGTTACGGTTTTTTTTTTTTTTTTCCCCTACAAATTTCTGCTAGAAATTTTGGAACGCTAGGAGGCGGGTTTCAGTCTTTATCGAGAACACACGCACAAACCCTCGTACTCTTATCTTCTCACACAAACTCGCGTCCGAGATCCCATTTTACAAACCCGAGCTCAGTTCCAATGGCGATTTCCTTGGGTGTTTCCTCGAGCTTATTGGTGGGGGGTACGGCCTCGTTGGTGAAGTTTTCTTCTGCAACTGTTAAGATCGTTCCCTCTAACCTGCGCGCTGTGCGCACGGTGTCTTTAGCTGCCGCGTCGAAGCCGGCTACCACGACCAAGAAGCGCGAGCCGAGAGGCATTACAAAGCCGCGCCGTGTCTCGCCCGAAATGCAGGCGTTCCTTGGTGGTCTCACTGAGATTCCCCGCACTCAAGCTCTCAAAGAGATTTGGGCTTACATCAAACAACACAATCTTCAGGTATATATATTGTTGCTTATGTAAGTGTATAGAAATTCTTGTGTATACATGTATACATTTTTTTCCTGTTCTAAAATTTAGTAAAATTAGGAATCAAGGCCGGTCCCGAGAATTTTGAGACCATGGGCGACTAATTATTTCGAGGCTATCAAGCATAATTATCAAATAACGAAACCAATCCAAATGCAATGATTGTGTATGGGAAATTAATAAGTAAAGAAATGTAAGAGTGTGTTGAATTATAAAGCAGGCCAAATCCACTGTGAAGGCAGTTAGGAGTATATTTACCAAAGTAGAAATCTTTACCAATTACAACCCCTATTCTCATTTAACATTCGACAAAATTAAGAATCAGTTTTACCTCGGATAAAGAATTTGAAAAAGGGGGGCAATGAAACTACCCACTTGCAACTGTTTCGTGGATTGTGTCACTGACATTCTCGTCCTCTAAACTAACAGCCAACTTCATGACCGCCTCTTTTTAGGCATTAATTCCCAAAGACAATTGGAACAGGAACCTTTACGTTGCCTATTTATACACCAGATAATAGGCATTAGTGGGATTTTGAGTTGTTCCAAGCACAAGGTAAATGTATTAATATTTTAGGGATTTGGTGGGTTTTGGGCCATTTTTTTGCCTTGGGCCAGGGCCGGCCTTGTTGGGAATATAGTTAGACAAGTTTCTTTGGTCCTATAAATTATAATACTCTCAGAATTGATCATTAAACTTAATTTGTCTTCACGAATATTAGTATAAAGTGAAATTTGGGTTGTTTTAATAACCACTTTCTGGTTAGAGCCTTCTCTCTTTGAGTTTTTTACTAACCTACTGTCTTTTTCTTTTATGTCTCCCCCATTAGACGTGGGTAATGTCTGTTGTTTGTGAATAGATTTGGGATTTTATGATCAATCATGCTTGGTGTACACCAAGTTTAACATTTTGCCTCATTTGACAGTTAAGGGAAAAAAAAAACAGTCTTCCCTCCAATCATTTTTTTACAACTAAGCAAGTGTCAACCATGATGTACACTTTGGAAACCTTATGGACGAGGGCCAATACAAAATTAAAAGTTTGAAGACAGAGAGGGGCATGGGCGGATTTAATGGTGGGTCACTGTTGCCCAAGTCCAAATGCACTAATTTTTTTTTTT